TGTTTATTCATCATTGATAATTAACTGACAAAAAGCAAACCTTTCTGAGTATATGAGAGACATATCCTAAAGCACTGATTTCTCATATTTCAAAAATAGAATTCCACTTAATTATGTCATTGACACCCCGATTACTTCAACCCCCCTATGAATCTAATAACACAATAATCACAGATTTTCTGTTCTTCATCTTAAGGACTTCCATTTTTGTTTATGTTTGATTTGTTTCACATACTTCTAGACTTGTCATGTTTTATTTCTCTTCATCTTTTTCAGATCTAAAAATAACAGCAAAAACCTACAAAGCTTTAATTATTTAAAATATTTCTAATAAAATTACATTTTTTTATGCACAGGGCCAAATTATACACATAAATTAATCATTCCTTCCACAAACACAATATCAAGGAGGGTGGCCTAGGTTGAATATTCTAACATATCATTCAGATTTTTCTAGAAGAAATAAATTATAATAGAAGAAAATGTAATGTAATTTTCAAACATATATCACATCAGTAAATTATGAAACGTAATTTCAAAATGGTATAAAACACACCAATTCTTCCTTGAAATCAAAAAAATAAGACATACTATGAATGCCACCACTACCTATCATTACCACATCCTAATCATATGTGTCTCCCTCTGTAATTATTGTTTTCATATCCTGGTTATGTGTATATCCCCAATGTTATCTATGATACTTCGGGTCAAGGTCCTTGTCTCATCTTTAGACCTGTTTTCCCAAGGTCTATTACAAAACTTGGCACAGAACCTGCTCGAGCTTGGGCTCAGTGGCTCACACCTGTAATCCTAGCACTGTAGGAGGACGAGGCGGGAGCATTGCTTCAGGTCAGGAGTTAGAGACCAGCCTGAGCAAGAGGGAGACCCTGTCTCTACTAAAAATTTTTAAAAAATTAGCTGGGTGTGGTGGTCTATGCCTGTAGTCCTAGCTACATGGGAGGCTGAGGCAGAAGGATCGCTTAAGCCCAGGAGTTTGAGGTTGCTGTGAGCTAGGCTGATACACGGCACTCTAGCTCAGGCAACAGAGCAAGACACTGTTTCAAAAAAAAATTAAAAAAAAGAAGAACCTGCTCAATAAATCATCAATGAACTGAAATAAAACTCCTTTACATATCTTTGAGGTGCAAATGAAATCAGGTATACAAAAGTACTTTGGAAACTGTAAGTACCATACAAGAGTTGGTTAGTACCAGAACAGTACCAGAGAATAGCACTATTGGCTGATGCTTCTGTAAGGCCCTTTACTGGCATATAGAAATCATAGTATCATTAAGGCCCATATTACATATGGCCAAATTTGAGTCTGATAATGTTACTCCTCATCTGACATTTCTGAATAACCACTATTCCAAACAATGAGATGGTCCCAATTTAAAATACTATTTCAATCATGAGGTCAAAATAATTAAAACTAAAGCAACATAACTGAATGACAGTCCAAGAAAAATCATGGACTTCTTTCCCATTGAATAAAAAGGCTTCCTACACTTCAACCGGATACTACACTTAATACAGAGTAAATTCTTGTTAAAGCCTTGCTAAATTTTTTTTTTTTTTTTTTTGAGACAGAGTCTCGCTTTCTTGCCTAGGCTAGAGTGAGTGCCATGGCGTCAGCCTAGCTCACAGCAACCTCAAACTCCTGGGCTCAAGCGATCCTCCTGCCTCAGCCTCCCGAGTAGCTGGGACTACAGGCACAAGCCACCATGCCCGGCTGATTTATATATATATATATATTAGTTGGCCAATTAATTTCTTTCTATTTTTATGGTAGAGATGGGGTCTCGCTCAGGCTGGTTTTGAACTCCTGACCTTGAGCAATCCGCCCGCCTCGGCCTCCCAGAGTGCTAGGATTACAGGCGTGAGCCACCGCGCCCGGCCAGCCTTGCTAAATTTTAAGCAAATACAAAACTCCATACTTAAATCATACAAGATAAAATTTGCTTAAGGGTATTAAAGTATCTGTAGACAAATGAAACAAATTAGTGAGGTCTCTGTGCTGCCTTTTGTCGGGGCCCACCTTCCTTGGTCCTTGCAGTTCTGAATCACCTTAATCTTCAGGTTCAGCCATTTCCCCTATCCCACCAGGTCCAAAGTTAATTCTGACCCCAGACCAAAAGTAATATAAGGTCAGTTAGGACCCAGTATTTCTCTGCACTTTGTGTGTCCCCAGGCATTAGTCCATTTGTCCACCCATCAATATTCCCAGAGAACAATTATTGAATACTGTCTTTGTCAGGCACTATACTAGGCTTGAGAACTATGACTTTGTAACTAATTGTGATATCTATGAGGGAAAGCCACCCATATTATTAGCATTCTTTAAAGTTGTCTGAACAATTCTGGGCTTTTGCCTTTTGAAGTAGATTTTGGGTGGAGCTTTTCAAAGTATAAGGCAAATCATTAGGCATACCGTTTAATTTATAATTAACTGACTTTTTATATCACTTTTTCCTATCTACGAATATATTTCCATCTAGTCTGGTCCTCTTTGCTCCCTGATATTTTGTAATTTTCTCCATAAAAGACTATCATATCATTTTTTGTTTTATTTTGAGACAGAGTCTCCCTTTGTTGCCCAGGCTAGAGTGAGTGCCATGGCATCAGCCTAGCTCACAGCAACCTCAAATTCCTGGGCTCAAGTGATCCTGCGTGCGGCTCAGCCTCGGCTGAGTAAGCTGGGACTACAGGCATGAGCCCCATGCCCGGCTAATTTTTTCTATATATTCATTAGTTGGGCCAATTAATTTTTTCACTATTTATAGTAGAGATGGGGTCTTGCTCTTGCTTCAGGCTGGTTTCGAACGCCTGACCTCGAGCAATCCACCTGCTTCAGCCTCCCAGAATGCTAGGATTACAGGCGTGACACACCGCTCCCGGCCTATCATATCTTTTTTAAATTTCTAAGTAGGCTATGTTTAGGTTTCTATTATAAATTGGATCATTTTCCTATTCTGTGTACTTATCATTACTTGCAAGAATGCTGATTTTTTTTTTTCTTTTTTGAGACAGAGTTCTCTACTTTGATTGCTATGCTATGGCTGTCAGCCTAGCTCACAGCAACCTCAAACTCCTGGCTCAAGCCAATCCTCCTGCTCAGCCTTCCAAGTAGCTGGGACTACAGGGCTTGTGCCACCATGCACTAGGCTAATATATAATATAATATTAATTAATATACTATATTTTTATTATTTTAAGTAATGTGCCTAGCATAATTTACTTTACATATTCTTTGGAGTCAGAACAGGGGTCTCACTACATTGTCAGGCTGGTCGTCGAAACTCCTGAGCGTCAAATCCAATCCTCCTGCCCTCAGCCTCTCCAAGTGCCTAGGATTACAGGCGTGCAGCCACCAACACCAAGGTCAGCATGCGTGATCTTATAGATATAATGCCACCACCTGCTGTGACTTTCTAAAAGGTTTAGTACTTTGTAGATTCTTTTGAATATTCAAAGTAGATCTCCTCTACCAATAAGACAGCTTTGTTGCTTCCCTATTTTTATATCTCTTAACACTTTCTTGTCTTAGCACGCTATTGAATAGGCGATAGCAAAGAGTTTCTTGCCTGAGCACCTGACGATTTAAATGGAACAATGCTCCTAAAAGCTTACCACCAGTCTATATGAGATCCACTGATAGGGTCATCTAGTTTGTCATTTAGCCAAGCTTAAGTAACTGCCGACTTCGTTATTTAATTGTTTTCTAAGAGTTATTATGAATGAGTGATTGATCTCATCAAAATCTTCTGCATATGATATGAGACCATATGACTTTTTTGTTGATTTCTTGATGTTGGACCATTTATTAATTTATTTACTCAACAAATATTTACTGTGCTACTCAAAAAAACGAGTATGGTAAAAATTAAAACACATGCGCAAAAGCAAGTGGCTGGGCACTGTTCTAGACTCTAGGAAAACAGCAGGTAACAAATAATCCCTACCCTCATGAAGCTTAAATAGTTGGGGAAACAGACAATAAACAAGAAAATAAAATACATAGTATAACAGGTCATGATATGTACTCTGTAAAAAACAAAGCAGAAAAGGGGGATAGGAAGGGCTGGCTAGAAAATGAAATTTAAATGGAATAGTCAGGGAAGTTCTCACTGAAGTGACATTTGAGCAAAGATCTAAGAAAGTCAGTGCTAGGCTGAAGGAACTTCATGTGCAAAGGTCCTCAAGACAGAACTCTGTTGTGTTTTTTTTGAGACAGTCTCACTCTGTTGCCCAGGCTAGAGTGAGTGCCATGGTGTCAGGCTAGCTCACAGCAACCTCAAACTCCTGGGCTCAGGTGATCCTCCTGCCTCAGCCTCCCGAGTAGCTGGGACTACAGGCATGTGCCACCATGCCTGGCTAATTTTTTCTATATTTTCGTTGGCCAATTAATTTGTTTCTATTTATAGTAGAGATGGGGTCTTGCTCTTGCTCAGATTGGTTTCGAACTCCTGACCTGGAGTGATCCTCCCGCCTCGGCCTCCCAGAGTGCTAGGTTTACAGGCATGAGCCACTGCACCTGGCCAGAACTCTGTACTTTGCCATTAGAGAATGCTGAGCAAAGGAGTGATAAATGTTGGGGGGAGGGGCTGTGTTTTTTGTAGAGATGAGGTCTCCCTATGTTGCTCAGACTGGTCTCAAATTCCTGGTCTCAAGCGATCCTCTTGCCTAGGCCTCCCAAAGTGCTGGGATGCAGGCGTGAGGTACCATACCCAGCCTGAATGTTTTTTTTTAAGAATTAAATTCTTGCATTCCCCAAATAAATCCTCCTTGTCTTATCGTGTATTACTTTAGTACACTGCTAAATTTGTTAGAATTTTGCTTTTCTTTCTTTTTTGTTTTTTTGTAAACAGATGTAGTCTCACTGAGTTTCCCAGGCTGGAATGCAGTGGCTATTAACAGGCACAATCATTGCACACTGCAGCCTTGAACTCAAGTGATCCTTCTGCCTCAGCCTCCCAAGTGGCTGGAACTACAGGTGTGTGCCAACATGCCTGGCAGAATTTTGCTTTTCTTTATACTCATGAGACTGGTTTCTAATTTCCTTTCTTGAACTTTCCTTGTCCATTCTTATATTAATGGTTGCAACCTTGCAACAAGTTGTCATGGAATAAGTTGGTTGCTATTACAAATTATTTTTTGCACTAAAGGTACTACTATCGTGTATAAGAAAGCTTTTAGCTTCTCGCTGAATGCCGCCGCCATGGCGTTCAGGCGCTTCGTGGAGGTTGGCTGAGTGGCCTACGTCTCCTTTGGGCCTCATGCCGGAAAGCTGGTCGTGATTGTAGATGTTATTGATCAGAACAGGGCTTTGGTTGATGGACCTTGCACTCGGGTAAGAAGACAGGCCATGCCTTTCAAATGCATGCAGCTCACTGACTTCATCCTCAAGTTCCCACACAGTGCCTGCCAGAAGTATGTCTGACAAGCCTGGCAGAAGGCAGATATAAATACAAAATAGGCAGCCACAAGATGGGCCAAGAAGATTGAAGCCAGAGAAAGGAAAGCTAAGATGACGGACTTTGATCGTTTTAAAGTCATGAAGGCCAAGAAAATGAGGAACAGAATGATCAAGAATGAAGTTAAGAAGCTTCAGAAGGCAGCTCTCCTAAAAGCTTCTCCAAAAAAAGCACCTGCCAACGGTGCTGCTGCAGTTGCAGCGGCTGCTGCTAAAGTTCCAGCAAAAAAGATGACCACTGCAGGCAAGAAGGCTCCCACCCAGAATGTTCCTGCCCAGAAAGCCACAGGCCAGAAGGCAGCACCTCCTCCGAAAGCTCAGAAGGGTCAAAAAGCTGCAGCCCAGAAAGCACCTGCTCCAAAGGCATCTGGCAAGAAAGCATAAGAGTATTATAAAGTAATAAAGGTTCTTTTTGACATGTTGACAAAAAAAAAAAACCAAAAAACAATGCTTTCAATTTTTGAAAGCTATTTTCTTCTTCAGTCTGCTTTACCAATTTCTTTTCCATTTTTTGTTTGTTTGGTTGGTTTCATTTTTTTGACAGGGTCTCACTCTGTCGCCCAGGCTGGAGTGCAGTGGCAGGATCATAGCTCACTGCAGCGTTGAACTCCTGGCATCAAGTGATCCTCCCATCTTGGCCTCCTGAAGTACTGGGATTACAAGTATGAGCCACTGTACCCAGCCTGCTGTATCAGTTTGTGACACAGGTGCATCAAAATTTTTCACTATGACTGGAAAATCTGTCAAATTCTCCTTGCAATCCTGTCAGTGAATATGCTGGAAAATGCATAAAAGTTTTTTATTATTTTATCTTTTTAGAAGATCATTTCTTTTACCAATAGGTAATGTCTCTCCTTATCTCAATTAATGATTTTTGCCTTAAATGATATTTTGTCTAACGATATTGCTACACAAGCTTTCTTTTGGTATTTGCCTGAATTACTCTTTTATTGTCAATGCTTTTTTTAAATTAGGTTTTAGTTGTGTCTCTTTTATTTATTTTTTTAATTATAAATTTATTTTTTTATTATTCTTTTTTTTCCTGATTTTTGCAATAACACTCTTAATACATGTGTCTCTTTTAATCAACATATAGATGGACTTTTTTTTTTTTTTTGAGACAGAGTCTCACTCTCTTGCCCAGTCTAGAGTGCTGTGGCATCAGCCTAGCTCACAGCAACCTCAAACTCCTGGGCTCAAGCGATCCTTCTGCCTCAGCCTCCCCAGTAGCTGAGACTACAGGCATGCGCCACCATGTCTGGCTAATTTTTTCTATGTATTTTTAGTTGGCCAATTAATTTCTTTCTATTTATAGTAGAGACGGGGTCTCGCTCTTGCTCAGGCTGGTTTTGAACTCCTGACCTTGAGCGATCCATCCTCCTCGGCCTCCCAGAGTGCTAGGATTACAGGCGTGAGCCACCGCACTGGCCCATTATAGATGGATTTTTAAACAGAGGAGTCAAATTAGTTCACACTGTGACTAATGATATAGTTGAACTTATTTCCCCATTTTATATAGTGTTTTCTGTATATTTCTACCCTTTTCTGATTCTCTTTTCCTTCCTTCTATTGAACTGATTTCTATATTCCCTTTTTTAACTCTGCTAGTTGAAAACTACAGATGTGTCTGGGTTTTTCATAGTTACTCTAGATTTTAAAGGGAAACACTTAACTTTATAGTTATTCTAAATGTTCTGCAGCTATGTCTGTCTTCCTCCTGAACGTGAAGAGATTCTTAGGACATCATGGAACAGATTCTCTCATTATTACTATTTAGAGCATTGTTTCTCAGAGTATGTTCCCCAAAACCTTTCCAAGAGTCTGAGAGGTTAAAACTATTTTTAAAATAGCATTTAAGATTTTTTCACTCTATTGGCATTTGCATTAATGGCATGAAAATCAGTGATGGGTAAAACAGCTGGTGCCTTAGCATGAATCAAGGCAATGGTCCTAAACTGTCCCAGTAGTCACTGTATTCTTCATCATGCAGTCGAGAAGGAAAAAAAAGCCAGTTTCATTTAGGAACGTCCTCGATGAGATAGTAAGAATTGTTAATTGTATTAAATCTTGACCCACGAATACACATCTTTTTAAAATTCTGAGTGATGAAATGGGAAGCATGCATAAATCGCTTCTGCTGCACACAGAAGTATAATAGTTGCCTCACGGAAAAGCACTTGTGCAATTCTTTGAGTTGAGCTGAACTAGCCACTTTTTTCAAGGAACACCATTTTATTTGAAAGAACAACGGATAGACAAACCATGGGTCTACATATGTGGGCAAGTAGCAGACATTTCCTCACAAATAAAGTGAGCCTGCCACTTTCAAGGAAAACAACTCAGTATTTTGTTGCAACAAAAAAAATATTAAGCTTTCAAGCAAAAAAAGGCTATTAAAATACCCATTTTTCCAACCACTTACCTGTGTGAGGCTGGATTTTTTTCATGTACTTCAACCCAGAAAACATACTGCTACAGACTGAACACAGAAGCACTTATAAGTAACTGGCTGACTTCCATTGAGCCAAATATTAAAGAGAGTCACAAAAATGCATAAATAGTGCAATTCTTACTAAGTTTTTATCTTAGAACATCTGTTTATTTCTTATGAAAACATTATTTCTGTCAACCTGTACTGGGTTTATTTATGAATGAAATAATATTTTTAAATGTTAGTTTTAATTTCTAATAGGGTTAAGTATTAATATAACCCACATAAACAAAAGCTCATTGGGCCTCAATATAATTTTCTAAGAGTGTAAAAGTATCCTAAGACCAATACATTTGAGAATTATTGGCTTAAATTTTTATTTCAGGCCGGGCGCGGTGGCTCACGCCTGTCATCCTAGCTCTCTGGGAGGCCGAGGCGGGCGGATTGCTTGAGGTCAGGAGTTCCAAACCAGCCTGAGCAAGAGCGAGACCCCGTCTCTACTATCAATAGAAAGAAATTAATTGGCCAACTAATATATATACAAAAAATTAGCCGGGCATGGTGGCGAATGCCTGTAGTCCCAGCTACTCGGGAGGCTGAGGCAGGAGGATTGCTTGAGCCCAGGAGTTTGAGGTTGCTGTGAGCTAGGCTGATGCCATGGCACTCACTCTAACCTGGGCAACAAAGCGAGACTCTGTCTTAAAAAAAAAAAAAAAATTTATTTCAGCCTTTTATGATAAGTGTTTACAGTCAATGGTTAATTTAAACTTACTGACCTGTTAAATTAATATCTGTTTTCAGACCACATTTTTTTAGCCACTACTCCTCCCACAACAGAAACTTCCTTTGCTTCCCATACCTTCCCTATGGGATTTGCTTTTTATCTTGCAAAGTGTATTCCTAACCTTTAGTAATTTCTAAGTGAGAGTCTACATTAAGCTCTCATGTCTAAAAATATTTATAACATTTATCCTTGAATATTAGTTTAGCTGTGTATAAAGCTCTAGGTTGACACATTTTTCCTTAGCATCTGAGAGAAATTACTTCCTTGTTTTGTGGCCTCTGTTTTGGCTGGCAATGTAATTGGTAATCCTTTGTAGATAGTTTTTTTCTTATTATCTATATCCTGATGTCACCATGATGTGTCTGGTGATAGATTTATCTTTTTGCTCTTGTTGTTAAGAAATGGTCTTGCTCTATAGTCCAGGCTGGACTGCAGTGGTGCTGTCATAGCTCAGTACAGCCCTGAACTCCTGGGCTCAAGGATCCTTCTGCATCTACCTCTTGAGTAGCTGGGACTACAGGCTAATGTTTTTAAAGAGATGGGGTCTTGCTATGTTGCCCAGGCTGTTCTCAAACTCCTGGCATCAAGTGATCCTCCCGCCTGTAATCCTAGCACTCTGGGAGGCCAAGGCGGGAGGCTCGCTTAAGGTCAGGAGTTCAAGACGAGCCTGATCAAGAGCAAGACCCCGTCTCTACTAAAAATAGAAGGAAATTAATTGGCCAACTAAAAATATATAGAAAAAAATTAGCCGGACATGGTGGCACATGCCTGTATTCCCAGCTACTCGGGAGGCTGAGGTAGTAGGATCACTTCAGCCCAGGAGTTTGGGGTTGCTGTGAGCTACCAGTAGGCTGATGCAACAGCACTCTAGCCCGGGCAACAGAGCAAGACTCTGACTCAAAAAACAAAAAAGTGGCTGGGCGCGGTGGCTCATGCCTGTAATCCTAGCACTCTGGGAGGCCGAGGCGGGTGGATTGCTCTGCTCAAGGTCAGGAGTTCGAAACCAGCCTGAGCTAGAGCGAAACCCCATCTCTACTATAAATAGAAATTAATTGGCCAACTAATACATGTAGAAAAAATTAGCCGGGCATGGTGGCACATGCCTGTAGTCCCAGCTACCTGGGAGGCTGAGGCAGCAGGATCACTTGAGCCCAGGAGTCTGAGGTTCTCACTCTAGCCTGGGCAACAAAGCGAGACTCTGTCTCAAAAAAAAAAAACAAAAAAAAAACTAAATTACAATGCGTGGGATAGCCATAATAAAAAAAGAAAAAAATATATTAAAACTAAAACAATGTACTCTAGATTCATGATACAAAGTACTAACTTTTCAAAAAAGCAACAAAAAAGAATCTACTCCAGATCCAAATTTCTTAATCAAGTTAAAGCTAAGAGATTTGTTACTAATTTGTCACTAGAAAAACAGATCCATGAACAATCAACTAAACAATGAATGCTTCCCTCACACCCACTCCAAAAAATAAAATTTTCATGGGTTGGCCTCACAAAAGTTGTGTCTAAACCAGAAATGCCCAGTTACGACACAATCCGAAAATAGATTTTGAGTGGCTAACCACTTCGGCACGTTGCTCACTGGCCGTGAAACCTGGCCCACAGCCAGCACTCATAGTCCGCGCGATAGACGAATCCGTTTTGCTCTTGTGTGATGAGGAAAGCTTTGACGCACTGAAAGCTTGTTTTATTTTACAGGCAGCTTTACTTGTAATGTAAATCAGAATAGGTAACTTATACATACATATTTTCATTACGCTATTTTTAAATGTTCACAATTTTATTTTGATAAATGAAAAATTAGAAAAAATTCAAAATTATAGTTTTATTTCATTCATATCATAAAGAAATAAGGCAAGTTTTTGAATACTATGATAAATTTTATTCTTTGGTATGATAAATTTCGAAGCATGGGGCTACACAAAGGCCAACATTACATTGTTTACAATAGTATCTAGTGCTACGCCTTTATTATTTTTTGAGCATACAATACATCTTCTTAATGGATTTTTCCTTTTTGTTTTATCACTATTGTAAGGCGCTGGAAAATGTCTCTAAAACGCATGAGATTTTCTGATGCAGTACAAGGGTTGTATTGCCTCGATTCGGAGTACTGTTGTAGAAGTTTTGTTATTAACACTAAAGTCGACGCTCAGCTGTGTGCCTTCATATCATGGCTGTCAGCTAACGTCGACACTCGCCTGTGCGCGTTC